TAATAATAATAATAATAATGACAATAATAATATATGTCAATTAGAAGACTCATGAATCAATGGAAATATAATAAAACACCCTTAATTATCACTTTCGATCTGTAATAATCATGTAAGTTCTTGGCATTATTGACTTTGAATAAAAAAAACCACACTGCTACTTTTCTTTCATTATCTTTTATTTAGCTAGAAATCATAAAACATATTCACAATGTCTTATATGCTCAAAAATTCTGGTAAAGGATTTAATTAATAAAGTTGTTTAAAAAGAAACAAGTTTTCTTTTTTTATTATTCAGCTTGGAAAAGGATTTTTTCAAGAAAATAAATAAATAAATAAAAATCATATATATTACTTGGGCAAATTTGTTTAAAATGATCTGGGACATTCAATTAATGATCAATCAAAAAATGAAATCTTTTATTTTTTATTGCTTTGTTTGTTGCCTTTACCCATTATCAAGAAAATGAAGATGAAAGTAATGAATTTGGACATGATAGAATTATAAAAAAATCTAAGCCATATTACAAAACCAAGTGAAGAGTTATCATTGTCTTCTAATTTGCTGATCTGAAATGTCTCTGGATGTTTGTCAATCATCTGTTCACAAAAATTTGTATCTGACTATTCAATTGCTCAAATACAAATAATTCTGATATCTGGATATTGGTCTATTCACCAATTCATACCAAAAAATTAATTTGCCTATATATATATTTCAGATACAGATAGTAGACAACCAATTGGATTTCATTGGAATGAGCACATTGACTTTAAAAAACACAAAAGCTAGTTCTTATGTTTTATGTGTGATTTAATTCAGATAGTAATAACTACTGCTCAAACACAACACGTTTTACACTATGTAATCTTCAACAAATAAATATACCCTGCATGCTAAGTAAAGTGGCTCTACAGTCAAATAAACTCAACTATTTGTCTTTTGCAATTTTGTACAGATTTGCAAAGAAATTGCAGACAAACAGACAAAAAGGTTTGTAATTTTTTCACAAGGGGGCTTTTTTTTTTGTATAATTAAATAATCACGGGTATCTTAATGATAAGGAAAAGTTGGTATAATCTCAATTGCAGTATGCTGTATAAACATCAACCAAAATAAATGATAACAATTAGCCCTTTAATTCATGATACTTTTAATAATGAAAGCAGGTTGGAGGAGAAACTCTAAACAAAATCAAAAGGTATATATAAATCTTTTTTCTTATCTCCCTATGAAAATTTGTGTAGAAATTCATTCCCAAGGTTCAGTGTTGAACAATGCACCACTCATATCAATTGAAATGTACAAAACAAGAAATACCATATAATGGTACCTGGGAATGAAGATGATGCAGTTAAAAATTGAATAAGGTATGATTCACTCTCTCTATAATGGATCATTCTATAATAATCACGGACCGAGAAGTTAAGCCAATTTGTATACATTATTATTGTCTATAACAGATTCTCTATAATGGAACCTTCTATAATGAACTTAAATTCTCAGTCCATTCATTATAGAACAAGATCCAATTTATATGTTACATATATGTTGTGCATGAATTCAAATTAGTTAATCATAGTGGTTGCATCCACCGAATGATATTCATTGATTATTCACTGATTATCCAGTTAATCGGGTGTTGAAAATTTTCACCGGATAATTTGTGAATAATCGGTGGTACAGAAATATAGAAAAAATTTTTATCCGCGTAATTGAAAGAATATTAATATATACTGTACGTTAAGTATAAGATATTAGATACATGACGGCCAATATCATGTTAATACTATTTTATCCATCATTGCACTATCAACGACATTCTTTCTATTATAATAATATATCAAGTAATATGAATACTAACTGTGTCATTATTATTTAAAGAATATTTATGCATTGCAGTAACTTCTACTCCAAATGAGCGACCTTGTCACAGCGGAATATGATTATAACGGATTTTTAAATTTTTGCTTCACATTCACATTAAAATATAAAAACATAAAAATCCATTGTGGCAAGATCAGTAAATCTTGCCACAACGGGTTTTAAATAAATCTTCATTCATCCGCTGCGACAAGGTTTGACTGTATTTAGTGAAGCTAGAAACACACAATGACAACCAAACGAATAAAATTGATCCGTTGTTATTTGTATTTCTTAAAAAAAAAATATGCATATTCAACGGATATTCGGTGGATATTTGGCGGATATTCGGTGAATGACCGATTATCCGGGTGTTGGGTTTTATTGACTGACCGATTATCCGGATGTTGAGCTTTATTATTATTGATTGGCCAAGTATTCAAACACCCGGATAATACAACCACTAGAAATAATATAATTATTAATATTCGAAATAAACAAAAAAGTTTTAATATTAACAAGTAGAAATAATCGTTTTTTTTGTAATACGATCAATCGGTTTATTTTTTATCTTATTAGTCAAAGATTGACAATTTTTTAAAAATCGCAGTCCGTAAAGTTTGTTTACTATGAAGAAACATTATGTTAAAACAGAAAAAGGTATTATAATTAAAAATCATAATAATAATAAATAATAATACATTATTACAACTGACCAGCTTCAATATTTAAAAAAAGGTACTGATAAATCCATTATTAAAAGTAATGATAATAATGAAAACGATACCAAAAAAATAAAGTTGAAAAGATATCGTTCAATTGATTTTGAAAAGAAAGATGAACATAAAAAAGAAATAAAACTTGGTAAAATTTTTATTATTATTTTAAGCCTTTTACTCTTTAGTTTACGCTTTACAGTCTTATATATATTCGTGTGTATGTTATATATATATACATATAAATTTATTCCTTTGATTAACATGCTTTGAAATTTCAAAACTTATTACACGCTTTATTCTAAGAATTAAAGTCTAGGGTTTTTTCAATTTTTAATCCTAAAACCGAAGTTCAATGGAGTGAACATGAAACTATCTTAATAGGAAGATATATTAAATCTAAAGGTGAAAAAAATGAAGCAAGATCAAAAATTGCAGCTTTTGATTTGGTATTTGATTTATTATCATTATTTATTCAAAATAATAAAGTAATTCTTTAATTGATTTTGATTTTTCATTTTATAATTAGGATTATACATTGATACAAGTTAAAGGTAGTCATAAATATGCCAAAGATGAATACGATTGGAAGTGGTGGAAAGAATCAGTTCCAAAAATTTTAAAAGATTATTATGATTCAGGGTTTGCAATTATGATAATTTTTATTTGATAATTTAATTTAATAATCATATTAATGATGGTTATGATGATAATTATTAGATATAGACTTATTATTATTAGTAATCAAGGTAGTTTGGGTATTGAAAAGAAGACAAAGGAAAAAAAGGAAAAAGATTTTAAAAATAAAATCTCTCATATTTCCAACGATGTAAATTTTATTATTTAGTTGTATTAATCATTTTAAATATTTTTAATTTAATTATTAATTTTTTTATATTTCTACTTTAGTTAAATATTTCATTTGATATTTATGCTGCTACTGGTAAAGACATTTACCGTAAACCAAGGATTGGAATATGGAAATATTTTATTGAGACTGAAAACAATGATTTAATAGGTAAAATAATGTTTTTTAATAAATAATAATAATAATAATAATAATAATAATAATAACAACAACAACAATGATGATGATGATGATAATTTATAGATTTAGAAAACAGTTTTTATGTTGGTGATGCAGCAGGCAGAATTAGAAATTGGAAGGCCAATGCACCTTGTGATTGGTCAGACACAGATCGGTAATAATTAAATTAGCCAATTGATTAATTAATTGGTTATAATTAAATAATGGTTATGATTTTTATCAATTATAGTAAATTTGCTGAAAATATTGGAATAAAATTTTATACTCCTGAAGAATTTTTTGATAATGCTCAGCCTGCAAAATATTCTTATGGTGATTTTAATCCAAAGAGTATTCCAACAATGGATGAAAATGATGATGGTTAATTATCAAAAAAATACAATATATAATATTTTTTTAATTTATTTTTTATTTTACTAATTCATTACTCACATACCTAAATTTAATGATCTAGTTATGCTATTTTCTCCTAGTGATAAACCTTTGATTTCATCAAGTAATCAATGTGAAATTATAATAAATGTTGGGCTTCCTGCATCTGGAAAAACAACATTTACAAAAAAATGGTTAATCAGCAAAAATAATTATATTCATGTTAATCAGGTAAAAAATTGACAATGATTTTATAATTATATTCAATAAATATTAACATCATTTACCTATAATCATTTATTATTAGGATATATTAAAAACAAAAGCTAAATGTATCAAGGCTTGTGAAGATGCTTTAATAAAAAATAAACCTGTTGTAATAGGTAAATATAAAAAATGCTATATTACAATATTTATAATAATAAGTAAATAAATAGCATAGTAGTAATAATAATAATATTTAGATAATACAAACCCTGATGTTGAAACAAGAAGAACATATATTGATCTAGCTAAAAAATACAATGTCCCAATTAGATGTTTTTGGTTTCAAGCATCTGAAGCTTTATCAAAACATAATAACATTTATAGAGCATTAAATAGCAATAATAAGGTAATAAAATCAATTATTATTGTTATTTATCATTATGATAAATAAATAATAGTATTTGATCTTATTTTAGATTAAATTAATACCTGAAGTTGCATATCAATCTTACAAATCAAGATTTATTGAACCAAAAATTGAAGAAGGTTTTCAAGAAATAAGATATATGAATTTTGTTTTTGATGGGACTGAACAAGAAAAGAAAATTTGGCAAATGTGGTATACATAATAAATTGCTAACATTTTTAATTTATAAATATAAATAATTAGTATAGGTTTTATAATAGTGTAGTTTATATTTAATTAATCTTTGCATTATTGTAAAATCATATTACTGATGAAAAGAACTTGATTTTTCTTTTTAAAAAACATTGATTTTATTGTCTAACTATCAGTTTGGATAAATTACTAATTATGTATTGACTTTGGCATCAAAACAAATTTATAAAGAACTTTGTACCAGTAATTGACATTTTGAGTTGTAGGCTTACTATATATTAACAAGAAATCATTGGTATTTGCAGCAAGCAAGCTTTGAATGAAGTATTTCTTTGATAAATTGCTCACACACAGTATTTTACCAATGTATATATACACCCTCTATAATGGCCTTTTCTATAACAGTTTACACTATAACAAACTGAGAATTGGATCCCAATTTTTTATTATATAAAAGCCCTACTCTATAATAGTCTTCTTAATTAAATTTCCTATATTGCACAACAACCTTGTCTGAAATTCACCTATTTATATAATGGCCAACAATCATGATCTGAAATATACATTGGATGGTAATTGTTTTTCAGTGTTAGAAATAGCATAATGGACATTCGTTTATCTCATTGTGATTTTGATTTCATTGGCTAAATTTTATGACGATCACCCTCCAAATAATCACAAATTTTATTGGCTTGAATAAGGACCCCGGAGACTACATAGATAGGTTATCCCAAAATTTACCCAAAATCTAATTGGCTAATTGAGAAAATCTGCAC